CCTTAAAGATCATGAATAAGGGTCTATAATATAACAGGGGAAAAAGTGTGCATATGATCATTTTTCAAGGAGTGATGGAAATTATAGGGTTACATTTTAATGAACAATGGAAATTACAAATATCATGGTCAAGTATATACTCTTCCGGTCCTTAATATAAGACCTATTTAACTAATTTGATTAGAGTAAGAAAGTTAAGTAAATTAGTTAATTATAAGAAATATAACATGTTTTTCCTAAAACCCCATAATCATCTTCCTTAATATCTTCTCTCTTTCTTCTACTTGACTATGATTGAAGGAGTATTCATAAGGATAATTTAGGAAAAACTAATAAATGTGAGAAATAGGTCTTATATTTAGGATCAAAATTAACTCAACAATTAGATCATATATTAAGAAGCGGAGGAGTACTACTTTTCTCAAGAAAAGTACTAAATTATAATCCGCCCCTAAAAACTGTAAGTAAAAATACACATTTGTTTTCTTAATTATCACACAAAGATTTGTTTTATTATATTAGTTTTATTAACAAAAAATGCCCGCATTTAAAATTTTAAATATTGACAAAAAAAAATTCACAAATTTTAATATATTAAATTTGATTTTTAACAATAATACAAGTAGTATGAAAAAATTATTATTTGAGCTAACAGTATTAAAGTTATAGGATTCAAAAAATACTTTATGAAATTAAAAAACTAAACTAAACCTTATATAAAATTAGAGAAATAAAAATATTTTTATGAAAAAAGGGTATTAACCCAACTCCTAAAGACGCTCCAAATGCCATAATTGGATATTTTACATTTGAACAGTCTAAATTTTGTACCTCAAGATGTTAGAATAAATTAATTAGTGAAGTCTATATATATATGTATATATGAATTCATATGAAATTATTTCTTTTTTTGTGAAGGATTTTTTACTTTTTTCTTTTTACATTGATGATCGATTCTCCATAGATGATAGTTGAGTCTATCTTAGCTTTCCCATACGTACAAGAACATCATAATTACTTGAAAATGCAAAGGGGGCACGTCACTTTCAGTACACCGTTTTTATTTTTCTTCATTTTTCTATATCAGTAATATATCATTCATTATACATATTGCTTCACACACACACAGCACGGAGGACCTTAAAAATCATCATATCTTTCCACTTGTTAAAACTCTACAATTGACCATTTCGACCATGAAATTCAAATCAGATCATTCAGTTCTTTTATTTGCGTCATTAAAAAGCCTTCAAGTTCTGGTATTAGTTCCTATCTAACCGTGAGAGTTATTGTGTACATACATGAAGACCCATTATCTTACTTTTTATACTTTGGTCGGTGAGGTTTAGATTGTGACATGATTCTTTACAATAATTCTCAATATAATCCTAAGCATTATTATTTTACCCTTTATTGCTTTGAAATTAATGAAGATTATCGTGACTAGCTAGCTAGCTAATCTCTCAGGATTAGTTTTTTTTGTTAATATAATTTTTAAATAAAAATAATTAAAAAGTTTGAATTATGGTAATCAAGGTTATCAAACTCACGAGTTTAAACAAACTCATGATAATGATGTAAACTCGGATCGTAAACTCGAATCATGAACTCATAAGAGTTTACTTTTATTAATAAACTGATATTAAAAGTATATAATCAAATAATTAATATATAAAAAATGAGAACAATTTTATTTAAATATATTTTAAATTTAAATAATTGAAATTATATCTATCAATGTTCATAATTTATCAAATTCAACAAAGAAATTTCTATAAAAATCATATATAAAGTCACTAAACATAATCAAATTCAAAAATTTAGCACGAGTTTAAGAGCGAGTTGACACGATTTTATAAGCTAAAAACATAAAAACGGTAAACTCAGTAAATGAACTCGTAAGTTTAACCGAGTTTACAGTTATCATGAGTTTAAGAACGAGTCAACACGATTTTGTTAGCTGAAAACGTAAAAATATTAAACTTGGAAGGTCAACTCGCGAGTTTGACAACAGTGATGGTAATCATGTTTGTTTTGAAGTTTTTTTTTTTAGCTGAGTTTGTTTTGAAGGTTTGAGTTGTTGATAAGAGTTCACACAATTTATAAAATGAATGTGTGCTGTTAGGTTTCACTACAAAAAAAAGACACTTAATTACGGATAGAATCACTGACGAAAAATTCCCTCAATAATTTTTGTCAGAAATCTGTCAGAAGTTCTGATTGGTAAATTTACCGACGAAACTTCCGATGGAAATTACCAACAGAAAAATTCCGTCCAAAATTTTATTTTGCAACGGAATTAGCCATAGAATAATTTCATCAGTAATTTCCTTTGAAAATCTGTGGCAAATTCTGTCAAAAATTCTAATGAAACTTCTGACAGATTTCTAACAAAAATTACTAACAGAATGTTTTCCGTGGCTAATCCATCAGTAATTTAAAATTTTTGAAATTTTATTTTTTTATTATAATATGATAATAATTTGTATTATATAATAAGATAGTGATTTATATAGGTTTATTCTTCAAATTAGATTTTAGCTTACAACTAAAATTAAAAAATATGGATAAATATGATAAGAATTTGATATGTTTATGCATATGTTTTCCTTTCTTTTTGTATCATTAAGTGGATTCATCATAGCTAACATTCAATGGAGATTTAAAAGAAAATGAATGCAATGTCATTGTCATTTGATTAAAGGTTTTTTTCACTTTAATATATATAATATTATATTTATTGATACTACCTCTGATCCTTAATATAAAACCCAGTTGATTAATTTGGAGATATTAAGAAAATTATTATAAATTACTTTAAAGTACTCATATTTATTATTTTTTATCCAAAGTAATTTGTCTTGCTTATAAATTGATATATAATCTAATGATACACATAAGTATTTTAGAGAGCTCAAGTGACATATGCTATACTAATTTATTTAGTAACTTTTTTAATCTTTCCAAATTAGTCAACTAAATTTTATATTAAGGATTAGAAGTAGTATCATACAAATAAAAACAATAAAATCATAAACAAAGAAAAATGAAGTCCACCTTTCAAAGGAACAAATTCAAACTTGATTTCTTATTATTTATTTAAGACTGTGATATGATTTGCACCTAAAATAATTTGAAAAACAAATGAAAAATCATTTCAAAAGAAGAAATATGATTTTCATTTTATATTAAATCTAATCAATTGGATATATAATGAATGAAGATATATAATGGTAATAATCAATGGGGTAAAATTGAATCCTCTTCATTTCAAAATAAAAGATAAAAGAAGATTATTGGATGAGTGTGAAGCAAAGAACAAAAAAATAGGTTAAACCAATGTAGCTAACTAATCAAGATCAAGTTGGGTGGTATCATAAAGAACAACAAAATTGTCCTATCCAACATTTAACATAATTATTTGCTCAAAACAATATTTAATATAATTATATTCTCAAGATTTGAACTCAACACTATTTTTGTCATTCAGATATACAAAATCACTTTAGATTTAAAACTAAATTAAAATTAAAACTTTCACAACAAGTGGTGCTTACTTTGTATAGAAATCCTCATTCGAATGTTTCGGAGATGCATAAATCACTATTACTATATCTTATAATTTTTTCATGATAACATTATCCTTTCTTATTTCAAAAATATTATAGTGGTAGTTCATCATCGTGTGGATCACATTATTTTTCTTAAATCCAATAATATCGTTAAATAATTGTAATTTATATATTAATTTAAAAAATCAAAATAATTTTAATTAATAAAAAAATTATCAAATAAATAATAAAATTTCTTTCACCACAGTCCACAACACTTTTCCTTCCTTCTCATTTCACATCTTCATCTCCTTTGAGTCCCCATAAATGTTATATTATGTATATATATGTGTGTGTATCTCGTCTAAAAACGAAAAAGATATACTCATTGTTCAAAAAAAGATTATCAAATTATCTTGAATTATGCATAAAAGGTAAAATTCATAATACTAAATTGAGTATATCTATAATGACTCTGCAAATAAAATAAAATAATTATTTAATTCTTAATTGAAGTTTTTATTCTCATTTTTCAGGGCATAACAGTATCATCATATATTAATTTGTAAATTTTTAAATTAATATTAATCTCAATATTCATGCTATATAATTTGAGGTCTCACTATAATTTTTAAAAGATAAAATATATATATTTAAAGAGTTAAGAAATAAGAATTAGAATCCTATCTAATCAATTTGATTTTGAATTCTGGTGAAGTTATATCATTAAAATTCTGATTTTTTTATGAAAGAAATTGTTTAATTAGATTTTTTTTTGCCAAAAGTTAATTAGATTTTATATCTAGATGTCTGTGAAAAAAAATCATATCCTTCCACAATATTCACCCGTTCCCTCTGTTTATAAAGTCACAACTTATTTTCCCGCCACAAATTTCACACATTCCCTCTCTTACTTTTTATTTTCCCCAATTTTGCTTCATTTAAAAAATTGCTTTAACATCTTACGGCTATGAAACCTCTTCCGCACACATTGTCTACCGCTAGAGGAGTAGATGCCTCCATTCCTCCTTCTCCATTCGTCCTCCTCAGATCAGAGTAATACCAAAGGAGTATGATTACAACCAATGAGACAACTCCAGGAGGGTCCCGTCTTCTTCCACGGCAAACATTCAGGTCACAGTAGAAGCTGGCAATAAACAGTAGATCTGGTTTAACTATTGGTTTTGCCGATCCGCCCTCAATACTTCTTTCCTCAGATTCTCCCCTCTTTAAGTTTACATTCGCCTCTGTCTTCCAAAAACTTTCCAAGAAAAATGATGAGCCCCTCACATTTTCTCACGCCTCGTTGGTCACACCATTGCTCTTTCTCTCTCATATACCTTCGTATCTTCTCACTTCTCACTCTTTTTTTCACTTTTTATAACTATCTTCATTCATTTCATCAATTCCTTTCTGCGAGTGTGACGCTGTTTTTTGTGAATATTTAAGGTTTTAGGAGAGCACTGACGAAGGCAGTTCATCACCATTATTATACTGCTAAGGCGGAGACTGCAGAGGTTTGATTCTTTTGTCAGATAATAAAGCTAAAAATATTCTCTTATGTCTGCTTTGGTACAATTTACCATTCAGCACTTTGTTGTGACATTCCAAACATTCTTACCTAGTTGTAAGGAATCAAAAATTGAGATGACGGTCAACGTAGAAACTAGATAGAAAAATGAAACAATTTTTTATGTGAAACTCTGATAAGGTCTGGGCTGATATTTTCATAATTATCAGTCTAGGAAGGACAAAATGGAAAATTTTAAGAAAAATTCCAAAAAATCTTTGAAAAATGGAAAAAGTGTAGAGTAAAGATTTTGAAAATTCAGTTGAGGCCCAAAAGATAGAATTCCGGTGAAAATGATTTATTACGGAATTTCTGTAAATGGAAGTTTTTTAGAAAAATATTAAAAAATCCGAGAAAAATAATTATTTTAATTAGTTGGAGGCTTCAATACATTTAGGAGATTGATGGAAAATTTATTTAAATATTTATTCAAATTTATAAAATTAGTTTTAAGCCTTGGAAGCTCAAAAATTAATTTTAGGGAATTTATTTTCCCTCAGAACTACCGATAGAGGCCTAATCAGAGAAAATTCAAAATAAATATTTAGAGGTGGCAAAAAATTTTGAAAATTTTCAGATCATATTCCCATATTAAAAGGTAAATTATCATGAAGAGAAATAAATTTTTGGAGGTCTGAAAAAATTATAGAAGGTTACTAGTGAATAGTAATCGATAAAATTTTAAATTAGTTTGAGATAGTGATTTGGTTTTTTGGTCATCTTTTTGGACCAGCCCAAATCATTTGTGAGGCCCACATTGAGCCTAATAAGGGTCCAATTTCATGCAGAATCTGGAGGCTTCAACTAATTAAAGAAAAATGCAAAAATTAAGGGATATTTGTGTGGAAGAATCTAGAGAAAAGCCACATGGAGTGATTTGAATATTTTGAACACTTGATGGCTGCCACATACACCTTATTAGGTGTCCAATTTTGTCCAATTGAAGAGGGATACCCCTTTGAAAATACAAAAAATGTTGAAAAAATAGAAAAACAAGGGCAGGTTCTACCATTTTGCTTCCAGCACCCTTCAACCGAAAATTCTAAGTGTTTTGGACAAGGAATCATTCAACATATACCAAAAAACATTAAGGTATGCTTATGCCTTTCTATTCCTAAGTTTCAAGCTTGGTTAGTTGAAGTTTTTAGCTTGGAAAATTAGGAAAAATTCTGCCAAAATTCTGCTGGATCTTGTGATGTCTAGGGAACGATAGAAATCTTAATAATCAAGTGGAATAAGAAAGATTAAGTGGTGTATGGATTGATTTTTGGATGAATCGAAGTTGGGATTTAAGGGGAAGCAATTCGGTCAGCACTATTCATGTAGAAGCAATTTGATTTTGCTTGATTTGATGATTTCAATGGCTTTAAAACATGTTTTTGTGTAGAAATATGTTGTTGGAAAGTGTTTAAAATCATTAAAATCAAAAATGAAATTTTTAGAAGTTAAAAACCCCCCATTCGGCCAAGTGAACTTCATGGGTAAGGAGTATGAATTTCAAAAATCTGATTGCACCATTGGATTCCTCATGAAAAGTTGTATAGGGATGAGCCATGAGATGATTGATTCTAAGGAAGGAATCATTTTGTTAAAAAGCAAAGATAAAAGGAAAATTGTTAAGTTAATGTTAAAGTGTTGGAATCAAGTTGTTTAGTGATTAATATAGCTTATATTTATGCTTGATTTGATAGGCATTGTGATGAGGAACCAAGGAGAAGCTTTGTCCCTTGAAGTAATCTAGTGGACAAATGTTAAAAGGGTAGCTTCGAATTATAATTTGATTGTTAATCTTGCTTGTTTAGTGTGATTTGTTATTTGTTTAGATAGAAGAATTTGTGTTGTGGTATGGATTGGTTGAATAACATTGGTTTATGTTTTGGTCAAATGCATTGGGTTATGTCATTGTGGAAGTGTTGATGTTCCTTTTTTAGCATGGCATTAAGCATGATTTTATATGGTTGATTATGCCTTGAGGTAGAATAACATGTCACATTATAACTTGCTTGATTTGCATGATAATTGTAATTCAAATGTTACTGAGATTTCATGGAAATCTCATTCCTCCTATGTTAAATTATACCTCAAATAGGGAATGATTCATTTGATAGCAAGGATAAGGAAATGATTTTGGGATAGAGGAGCATTATGGAATTGATGCTATTATGTTATATTGTGTAATGTATTAATGAACTCTATGTTGAGAATGTAATGGATTATGAATGATATGTGATGTAAATTATGTTTGTATGACATGCCTAAATATTGGAATATTGAATGGTATAATGTCAAAAGAGTATAGAAAAAAAAAGGGAGATAAATTAAAGAAAGTAGCATTAGGGGATAAAATTTCCCTAAAAGAGGCCAAACTTGTGGCACATAAAATAATGAGTAATTGTTGGAATTTGGACATGAAATTCTACAGGCTTATAGATCTCATTTTTTAGCTTTAAAACAAATGTAAACCATTAAAATTGGAGTTTTGTGTTAAGAGTTATGCCCTTCCAAAATTAGATAAAAATACTAAAAATTTGAAAATTTACCAAATGAACAATGCACCTTGATGAATTTCTTGGAATTATTTTGAATGGAATTGGACCTAAGGAGTATTTTTTTCCCCATAGAACTTTTAGCAAGCTTCCCGTGAAAATTGAAATCACATCGTTTTGATTTTTCTAGAAGTAGTTATGAATTATCAAAATTTGCCCATTTTCGGATGAACAGTGTAAAGACAGGATGAACAGTGAAATGTTGAATTTTAAATTTTTCGCCCCGACGTGTTACAAAATGACTTATATTGGCTCTAATTGGCATATAATGGGTTATAAAGAGAGGTGTAACATTTGTCAATCTTGATTGCTGTATCTAATTTGGGAATAACCCTGGTGATCTTCAATTTTTTTTTTTAATAGATTGCAGATTTGATCTTTTTACCGTTGTAATGATTTGGATATTGAAGTGGGATCTCAGGATATTACCTTGTAAAATTGGAGAATTGACGTGGGAAATCAGGATGGTACAGGCATAAAATTAAATAAGACACCCATCTGCTTGTATTTGTTTTTTTGCCAGTAGCTGACTTCTATGTTTATTTGTTTCATCTTGAGTTTAGCCTGTTCAGGACTATGGAATGAACGCTTTCTAAACATTGACAGACCAAATTATTTGCATTTGAAACTTGCGTGTTTGGACTCTACTTTCTGCGATCATCAATCACTGAGTAAAAATAGGTCTTGCCATTTGGTTGATAAAGTACAACTAATATGTCATTAAAGTTGCCTAACTCATCTAGGTTTGCCATTAAACTTAGAAAAGGTTTGTCATTTGCTATTATTTCTTTGAGTTATTAAGAATCTAGTGATCAAAATGAAAGTAGTGAGATATATATGTTGCTGCTGAATAGAAATCCAGCACATCCTGGCCATGGAGATGATTGAATGAATCTATGGTAAAGTATGCCAATATTATCCTATAGCCTGAATAAGCATAAAAACAAGTTACTGGCTAAATCTCAAGATTGAAGTTGGAACACCTATTTCGATAATAGTTGTTTAATTTTGATCAACTCACCACATTGAATTAAGAATACCATGTGTATGGCTATTTTTCCTTTAGCCTAATATGTGTTGTTATGGTTTGTATCTTTTGGTAATCTTCGGAGCATAATTGTATAAGCAAAAGGGACTATTTCAGTCTGACAGCCGAATCTCATATTTGATCACCATAATTTTACCTTTGGGCCTATTTATACTCGGAGGTAGCATTGGTGCATACAAACTGCCTGTTAGATTTATATCCCTTAAGCCATGTTATATAGTAATTAATTAATATATGGTTATTTCATTGTGATAGGTATCTTTTGGGCTTGACCATCTTCTATGGGCATGAAAAGCTTCCTAAAACTACTCTCTTCTGTATATATTTGTATATGCTATGTTCTCTGTATTTTATATCTTTGAAATAAAAAATATGGTGTTTGATCTTAGTTTTTCATATTAGACCACTTTTTTTAGTTTTTCACATTATACCTTTTTCTTATTTTTTAAATCAATTCACTAATTCTTATACAATGCAAATATTTATTTTATCAATAAATTGTTATATATATTGCTTACAATATATACTGTCTGTTTGTTCCAATTCTAACGTAGTATTGGTTCTGCACAGGTATCTATTCCTTCCATTAATAATACGAGCAGTCTTGTATTGGGATAACACAGCTTGCACACAAGAATTAATGATGCGACAAGAAAACAAGAACATATGTACATTGGCATTAATGGGAATTATATTATTTGAGCCCGCTAATAGTAGAAATGTAGAAAAATAGCACCTGAGGGTTATTACAGAGTTGAGAGTTTTTAGTAGTTGCAGCTTTATTGTTACACTAATGACATTTTATGTATTTAATTAAGAACCTATGTTTGTATTATTTTTTTTAAAATTATAGCATGTTTGGTTTTCAAGAAATTTAATTGTCTGTGTTGGTTTTTAATTGTTTGCTCCCTCTAAAAACAAAACATGAATAAATCAATATAATTATTTAAGAAAAGTTAGAAATTCCCCAAAAAATGATTATTGACAAAAATTTTCGTCAAAAATTGGTGACAAATTAGTGACAAAATTTGAAATTGTTTAAAAAAAATTACTGACAGAATTACTAATGGAATCTATTCCATTGCTAATTTTTTGTTATAAAATTTAGCCACAGAATTTTTAAATTCTGTGGGTAATTGGCCATAGATTACCGAGGAAAAGTTATGTTGGAAGTCACTCACAGAATTTTCTGTTAGTAATCCGTGGCTAATTACTAATAGAATATTCTGTCGAAAACTTGTGACAAAAAAATTTTGTCAAAATTCCATTACTAATTACCCATAGAATTTTTGTCAGAAATCCGTCAATAATTAGCAACTTAATTTTTAATTCCATCACTTAATTTTTTTGTGACGAAAAAATTAGCGACGGAATAGACATTGTCGGCAATTTTTTTTGTCGCTAATCCATCGAAATTTTTGTCGGTAATTTCAAATTCTGTCACTGATTCCGTCAATAATTTGGGGTTTTTTTTGTAGGGTCTCATTTTTTTTAATTTAATAGTGATCTTGTGTGGTCATTCACCTGTTGATTTTATATATTCGACCGGTGCCTTTCCCCCCTTTTTAAAGACTATTGGGGTTTAATATTTCCACTTGTAATGCTTAATTATGATAAACACAATCTCTTATGTCAAATATTACTTTGATAAATTATAAAAAAATAATCACAACACTAAATGCTCAACTGAGATTATTGTGAGTATAAGTCTAAAAGAAATGACCTATTTCAAAAAACTAGCCTATTGGAGGGAATAGAAGAGCTATTTGAACTAATAAACCTATTCTTCTTGCCCGTAAGTCCTTTATGAAGAATCTCTCAGTGACATCAGTCTTTTGACAAAGGTACTAATATTATGAGTAGAAGTTTAAAAATAGTCTGTTAAAATTTGAAATTATAATTGCAATTTCCCTTGATACTAACATCAATGATAACATTTGTGTCATTGTATATATTGAGGTCCTAATAACACCCAAACTATTATTAAAAAAAAAAAAAGACAAAAAAGTCTTATTCTGAAGTGTTACACACACGCAGAAAGAAAATATCAAGTTTAAATACCATGGTAGCTCGAATCTTTAGGTGATATGGGGTTTGCCCACTTAAATTGAATGGGGTGGTATGAAGAACACTTGTAACTTCTTGTCATTATTTTGTATAAGCCTTTCTCACATTCCAAAGTGGCTATATAGTTAGGTAGAGTCATAGGTTTCACTAAAGACCCCTTTTTTTTTTTCAGTCTTCTGAATTTGCTGTATGGCTGAAGTAGGGAAAACCATATTGGAGGTACCTATACTTTCTCTTATTTTTCAATTTGGTACCTATGTATTTTTTGTTCTTAACTAAATCTTTAATTTTGCTCTATTAACATCATTAATCCTTATGTAGAGACTAAAAATATCAATAGAACAAATTTATAAGAGCTAATGTTGCTAAAAAGATAAACTTAAATGTTTAATCAAAGGGAAAAAAACACATAGGTACCAAATTAAAAATTGAGAGAAAGTATAAGTACCTCCAATATAGTTTTCCCGCTGAAATATACTAAACACTTTTCTTAAAGCTGTTTTAAATATTGGGTTATGATCATTTCGAACCCTTGTAAAGACTAGAGAGTATGATGGATACATGAGTTGTGGGGGGAAAAAAAGACTGATCCACTCATAGCCCCTACCCATAAAGGAGAATCACATCAGCATGCAATCTATTTTAATATTTATATCACCTTTTTTTAATTATAGGAGAAATAACAAATTCATATAAAACAATATGACAAACAAATTTAAAGTAGCATGCTTCTCGTAAAGGTTTAGGGATTCTTACATCAAAACAAGAGAGAATCTAGGTTTTTTTTTAATGCACGAATAATATATCCAGGTCTTTTAATTAATTGAGCATTTTTTTATTTTGTATTTTACCATTTATTTGATTGATTCAACCACAAACATGGATGCATGATTCATTATGCACCAACCTTTAAAAAGGATTTTATTTTTTTAAGATTCACTCACTATCTAACATTATTCATTAACTTAAATTGTGTTGTATTGTCAATGACAAGTAATATTTGAGCTCAAATTAAAAGCCTACCTTCACTTGATCTAGTAAAAGATTTAAAACAATAAAACAAATCTTATTTTTAATGTTGAGGATAGAATAAGATTAAAAAAAGAACATAAATTATTTCTATTATTATATGCAAGAAATTAATTTTTTGGTGATGATATTGTCAATGTCCCCTTCAACATCTTCTTTCTTTGTTAATGTTCATATAAATCAAAGCACTGACCCCATTCCTTAAAAAATTTTCAACACATAGCAATGAAAGAAAATTCAATAATTAATACATAAAAATAAAATAAAATGAATAAAATATTGAAAAACATCACACCATATGATGACCTACCTACACTGACAAATCGGTATTTGTCCATGGTCACAACACTTTTCCTTAATTTCTCCAAATTATTTAATTTCATGTTGCCACCACCTAATTGGACATCTTCGTTTTCTAAAATAATTTTTTTCTAAAATGGTTTTCCAATAAAACATTAAAAATTGATGATATATACAAGCTTGATGAACAAAGCAGATTCCTAGAAAAGAAATTCGAAAGTTATCAACGTCTAAAGCTTAAATAGAATTCTATTTTGGCAAGGTACAAGAAAGGTTTTATATATTGATTGACAATAAATTAAAATAATAAATAAATTACAAATAAATAAATAAATATATGTTTGAAATTGTCTGCTATAGGAGGATAGGACGATCAAACAAAACCCAAGTGGGCACAAGAATTGCTGATCTCTTAACTTCTTCCATTGACTTATATATAGTAAGAATGGAGTGATATATCAATTAATCTATACTTTTTGATGGAAAACACTACCTAACTTTAATATATATATATATATATATAAATATTACATGAATAATAGCAATGAACCACAAGGCAGCATGCTTTGAGGATAGTGTGCCATCTATGCTTTTGAATCTTTTAACACCCCCAAGATTGTATTAATTATTTTTAGGTCCCCTAAGATGATGACAAGACAGTGTAAATTAAATAATACTATTAGTGTCATGTTAAGTGTCAAATCAAGAAAAAAGAAAGCAAAAGAGAAGCTGCTAGCAAGCTGGGTAGGCAAGAAGAGACCAAATTGCTGAGGATGGCGGGTTATCAAAGTACTGTTTCATAGGGAGCAAAACATTAAATGAGAGTGAAATTAGTTTACATTGTTTTCTTTAATGCAATCAATTTTTTTTTGACCAGAAATTTAATGCAATCAATTTAAACATACACACACGGACATATTAATATCAGATTTAAACTCAAAATCTTGTTCAAGCATGACAAGTTATATTGTAATTGAGACATCTTGTTGTGACATAATTTTATCATTAACAGTCTAAGGTTATAAGCAAAATCAAATTCATGATCTCTTATCTACAGAAGAGTATTTATACCACTAGACTTGAAGGTTATTGTTTGCCATGGACAATTAGTTCACATTGCTGTCGAGTGATGAGGAGGAAGAAGAAAAATGGTAGCTGGTGTAGGGCATGCACCAATAAGTGGACATAGAAAGATGTGTGTAAGAGAGGGAGAGAGGTAACAAATGTTATTGGTACAGATGTAAAGCTAAGCTAAATGAGGGAAAAGGGGGTTGGAAGTACTTAAACCACTCTTGATGGTTTTTCTTCCATCCCTTTCTCTTTCTTGATTTCAGAATCTGATATCTAGCACCGGTTATTAATTTAGTTTTAACTTCTAAGTTGAGTCACGCCTCAAATTAAATGTGGGAATTTTTTAAATTTTCATAGTACTGAGTTTCTTACCATATTCTTTAATTTAGTGTACCAAGCCCATGGTTGCCACATTCATCCACTTTTAATGGGCTATAGGATAAAGCCCAAATATCTGACAAATGTTTGAAGGTATTCCTATGCAAGTTTGAAATTGTGACTTTGGGCAAGGCCCTACTCGAAAAAATCCTCCTTTCAAGAGACCAACAAGAAGCAAGAGAACAAGATGAATTGATCTGATGTGGACCTCAGGCTAAGCCCACTAAAAACATACATGGACTTGGTTTAATGGGCTATTCGGCAAAGCCCAAACAAAGCTTAGAAAAATAGCCCTCTGTTATATTAAAAAGATAAAAGCTCTCTACCAACAAAACCTAGCATAGTTAGTAGATGACTAGGTCCCTTAAACATGATGTCCTAGATTCAAACCAGACCGTGTGCATGGAAAAGGCTTTGTTGGGAGAGGCAAAACCCATTTCGATGATCTCTACGCCTCAAGAGGATTAGTCTCTAGTTATCAGCTGGAGAATACCACTTGGTTTTATTTGAATTGCCCCTGTGTCACTCAGAGATTATACTCACCATGTTATGCCTAATGGGTCTTTCAATATGATAATCTTCAGATTATGCTTCTTTTCATGGTTGCTTGAGTAAGCAAATGGTATCCATTTGGCAGTAGTTGGTCGTTTTATGTAGTTTTTAAGCTGGATATATATGAGGATAGCACTATGTCTTGTGGAGATTGGGAGCATCCCAAATTTTAGAAATGATAGGATTTTCTTCCTCGTATCTTTGTCATCATTTCCTTGGTCTATCTTACCTTACAACAACGCTAATTTGCTAGGTTGTTGATTGTGAAGGCTTACTGTTTATATTTTCTCAATATGTTAAACATCCAACGTGTCTGCCTGTATTCATTGGGATGGAATTTTCGCAGCCCAGGAGTTTAAAAGTGGAGTTTAAGTGCGCTTGGTGAACTTGCCAAAGAAGAAGAACATCCATAGGGATCTTAAATTTGCTTCCCAACAGATTCCCGGCATAGTTGATATAGTCCCAGCTCTTTCTGGTAACAAGAAGACCAGGGACCTTGTTTGCAAGGGCTTTGCATTTGTTTATTACAAGTGTGAGAGAGATGCTGCCAGGTGTGTTCTAACTTCAAGCCACAATCTCAATCCCTTTCTAAATAGTGACTTGCATCTAGTTCGTTCAAGTGTTCTAACCCCTCAATGTTGTTGGGTTTTTCAATAAAGTCACTACATATGCATGCTTTTTTCAAGTCAGCAGCATGTCATACTTTGTTTCAAAAATACTTTTCATATGTTATAATTTGATTAATTAATTCAATAGAGACACTTCTAAAAAAAAATGCATCGTAAGTTTTGTTCCCCCTCTTCCAAATCTGATAGATGTAGAGCATTACATCTTCCCCTTGAATAAGTAAACATGATAGCGGCCTCTTTCTGAACTTTTGTTGAACAGGGTTCTTTTTTATTTTTATTTTTAATTGATTATATTGCAACTTGATATGTCTCATACAGACCATTACAATAATTTCTGGGAGACGAATATTTGAATGTGTTGATCTAGCTTTTGTCCTGAACCCTCTTCAAAACACAGGGTTCGGGATCCTCCTGCTTAAAATGTTCTCAGGAAGGCATTCTTCTCTCTATGAAAATATGTGAAATTTTGTCAAAGATGGTTCTCTTACACTGGATAATTAATTCAATCTTCTCCGTGTCATTTTACATCGCTAGAGTGACTAAGAGTTGTATTTACATTGGGATCTATCTGGCATTTAATTATTGCATACCACTGTTATTGTTCAAAATGACTCAACGTGTTCTCGCTGCACCTGTATCGTACAAAATTCAATCCTCCTCCTCTTCACAGGTTTGTGCAACTATACTCTGGGCAAACTGTTCCCTTTGGTAAAATTCAAAAGCGGATAAAGTGTGAGCTTCTGAATGAAATGTCTCCAGTGTCTGCTAGTCTGGAATCAAGCCAAGATGATACTAATGCAGCTACGCCACAGCTCATAGTCCCAGCCATAGAAGAAAGCTCAAATGAGGATTCCAATATGGATAATTCTGCATTCAGTTCTCGGGATGAGACTGCTTCTTGCTCCGATGAATTGGATGCCAAATATAGAACAGAACAGGTTGAAGAGAATGAAGACTTTGGGATCTACAAAGAGTAACGAACACCCCTGTGAATTGTAGAACGCATGTGACATGATTTTTATGTTTACTGATCATGTTCATCCTGTTAATCTGATTTCAGGTCCAGGATAAAGGAGATGGCAGTTTTAAGTGATGTTTTCTCCAAATACGGAACAAAAGCTGCTTTTTCAAAGGATAGTTAAGGGGAATTAATTGCCATGGCCAAATACTGCTGGGACTAGATCATCACCTGAGGTGTGGACTGTCTAAAGAAACAGACTTGAATGGTGAATGAGGGATGGGATGGTCTCCTTAATTCCACGCTGTAATTCTATGTATTAGATCTTATTTCAATCAAAATTTACTAAATATCATGGCAAGAAAAAAAGAAAAAGAAAAGCAAATTTAAGCTCAATTCCATTTATTCTGAAATTTTACGAGGTTGTTGCCATTTCATAAGATTATTATATCTTTTTGGTGAGGCACAATTAGTAACATCACCCAAAGTCCCAGAGCATGGACTAATCTCTCTTACAGCAAAGACTAATCTCTCATATTGAGGGGCAAAGAAGACCCAATATAAAAATAATTTTGCCTATTCACCTAAATTAGTTTCTAAATATACTATAATATAATAAAAAATATGCCAATATTTATTTTTCTGATCTCATTCATAACTTGATTCTAAATTAAAGTGAAATCAGGTCAAGTTTGTTTGATTTCAACCAAACTTGCATAAAGTGATTTTAAGAACAATTAGACGAATTTATTTTATACTAAATTAACTAATATATCAATATGATTAATATACAATGTAAATTTTTTTGAAAGTTAAACTATTCACAGGCTATTAATAGTGCCTTTATTCTTAAGTAGAATGCAACGTTAATTCTTTTTTTTTTTTTTTTATCTTTTTTCCTCACATGCTCTCTCTGCGTGATGGCTGTGGTGTAGTCATGGTGAATCTGCTCTCATGGTTGCGCATGTTTTTTCATATGTGATGAGATTATTAGGTTAGTTCCTTCAACCCCCATCCATTTTTCCCAGTTGCATTAGTTCGCTACTCGTGTGTTTTGTAGCTTTGATTTAGGGTTAGTGTTTGTGATGATGGTGTTGTTGGGTCTAAATTTGTACTATTTAAGTTTTGGCTCTTTTGTTTTGTTGGCGGTTTTTTTCTTGACCTTTCTAATGTTGATATTTAGTTTACGTTGATAAAATGCAATTGCTGGCCAAAAAAAAAAAGGACAGGATAATCAATCATGAGCCATAATATTTGTATTCATATATGATACTACTTCCAATCTTTAATATAAGAACTCATTTAATTTTTATTTTGATTCTAAATATAATATCTCAATCTATTTTATCTCTTATATTTATTATTTTTTTTTCTAAGATGGTCCTTGTAATAATGATACTTTAAGGAAGACAACATCTGTTTATTACAAATAACTCACTTAACTAATTTCTTTAATTTACTCAAATTATTCCACTAATTTTTATATTAAGGACGAGAGATAGTACTTGACAATAAAGTTCTCATTGGATTTTTTTTTCTGGGTAAAAATATTATATGGTTGATATAAATATTGATGTTGGCAAAAAAATAAAGAAATATTGATGTGATAATTTTGGGCTTACGGATCTTACCTACGGAAGCCGAACAGGCCCATGTTTTCGACCAAACATATGTACGTGTTGCTGAAAGTCCACCATCGCAGAAGCTCCATTTACGCTTGCTCCTGCTAGCTTCATTGGAAGCAAGCAACTGGCTTGCGCTGCTAATTTTCAATGCGCCTAGGCTATGGTTTATGTTCTACTCCATTTTCTCGGCAACCAACAGAATCGCCGTGATGGGGCTAGAATTTTTGGTCATATTATCATTTCGATGGCTTCATTTTGATTGTATTAGTTTTCGTGCAGAAATCTAGGCAGCCTGGCGAAGTTTACTTTGTCATGAGCTGCTTGTCGCAACTATCATCGTACACTGCTGCTTTGATTACGAGGACCACTTACTTCGTTAGCACACGTTCTCTGTATGGATGTTCTGTCTTTTCATGGAAGAGGAAGTTAGAGTATCCTGCTATTAGGTCTGCCCATTTAGAATTTGTGCTTACAAGGTTTCGTGTTCAGTGCTATTCATCTAGAAAAGGCCGCAAATCTGCTTCTAAATTGCAGAAGCTAGAACCTGAACCAGTGATGGAGCAAGAAAAGGATGCTTTTTTTGTCGTACGTAAAGGGGATATCGTTGGTATCTACAACAGTCTCATTGAATGTCAGGCTCAAGTTGGATCTTCCGTAATTCTCTTGGCACCCAATTCTCCACCGTTTACGGTTTGCATCTATGATATGTTGTCAGCTAGGTTATGCATAGTTTCTCATGCATCTGTGACAGAATGTTCTATTAAGACTGTGGAATGACTTCTATTGTTTATCTCACGGTTACACTTCTTTCAGACTTCAACTGAATGAGGCAATGAGCTTTTCCTATTGTCTGAGAAAAGGATCACAACTGATAATTTGTTATTCTAATTCGACTATTATCTTCCATAGTTATTAGAAGGCTTTACAAGGTGATGCATTAAATTTTTTATTTCCGTACTATATAGTTCGTTTAATGGATGATTCTATGTCACCTGGTAGATATGCAATCCTCCTGTTAGTGTGTACAAGGGATACTCCCTGCCTAAGGACGCTGAGGACTATCTTGTCTCACGGGGACTAAAGAATGCCTTGTACACTGTAAGAGCTGCTGATTTGAACGAGGATATATTTGGTACTCTTGTTCCTTGTCCCTTCCAGGTAAGAGAATTATTGCCTTTTATGTAATCATCCCCATCACATGTATGCTTCAAATTAGAAAATCGAGAAAAGTTTTCATTGATTGTGAATTGAAGAAATTGCCTTTCTGCATACCCGATATGAGCTTGAAGAAACTTCGTTGGTTCTTACTGTCGATCCTACTCATTTTAGGGAAATTTTGATCCATATTAAAATTTCCTTTAATGAATTGTCAAATATCTAATACGGCGGTTAATTGAGATGCTCATTAGGCATCACGTAGTGATGGAACTTATTCCTTTTTCATTTTTGGTCTGTTCTGGGGTAAATGTTAAACATAGAAGCCTTCAAACATGTTTAACTTTTTCCATTTTATATTACTTTTTCTTTTTGGTTTATCCTTAATCACAAATCCACAGAACCATTTTGCTTTACCTTTGAATAGCTAGGTGGCAGTCTTCTATTGTAATATCCAGCAGATTCGTGTTTCTTTGATAAAAGTTCATGTTTGTTCTGTTGCTGATTCACTTTAGAAGCTTGAGATTCATTATTCTCGAGAATGAAAATTGATGTTCATGTATCCTTAGGATCCAGCTTCTTTGGAGGCAGGCACATCAAGCAATGCCGCATCTAAAAAGAGATCTTTGGGTGTGCTTGGACAAGAAAACGTGGTGAGTTCTGCAATTTTAGGAACTGCAACTTGCTTATCTATAAAGCAATGTTATGTGGATTTTGTATAAAGCTGTATCCCTCCAAAGTTGGTTTTCATCTTTAATCCCTTAAGTAATTGCATCACCATTATCAAATTTGAATTTGAATTATGATGTGATATCCTTATTATACCTCTCTACCTTGTATTCTTCCAACAGTAAATGTAACAGTTTTAGATTTGAGTGCAGAGAGTTCGTGCTTAGCATGGAACCATATAATATATTACCTTTGGATATATAGATATATTATCAAAATACATTTTTAATTATATACAAATACGCTTTAGTTAAACGTGATAATAAGTTTTGATATTGATCTGTGTAACTTCTTAAATAGTCCGAATGCTTGGTTATAAAATGCTGTGACAGTTTTGGGATTTTCAGCCTCATCAAGTGTTACTAGTACCTGCATAGTCAGCCGATGTTGATATTGTTGGCATGGCTTTTGCAATATATTTTGCTTAGCTATGTGGGTTATGTGACAAAGCCTGATTTTCCTCACTCCACTTTGTGCTGTCACTAGATGTTTGGGTGATTTATTTGCTAAAATAATCTGATTAAAAAGATGACTTTGTTGATTATTGGATGATGTCTCATTTTTATTTTCGTACAGAAAATGTTTTGGATCTAAATCTGTAAATCCTTTTTAGCCTTTTTTCCCTTTGCATTTCCGTGTCAGGTTTTCTTCAATGAAGCAACTTTATACCATACTTAAGTTGCCGCTATCTAAATTCCTGTCTCCCTTATTGTGTAATCGTAATATATTTGATATATATCTTATACTGCTTAGGAGGAAGGAATTGGTGTGACATTCCTCTCTGAAGACCCATTGAAAAAACAAGTGAAGTTAGATCATTCTGCTTTGGCTCAAGTACCATCATCTGAATTGGTGAGTAGAAACAATGTACATGCTTGTAGCTGCTAAATAATGTTTACTTGATGAACCTTTATTTCAATCAGTTACTGCTGCACCTTCACCACAGGCGATGTTGTCATGTCACCTTGAGTACTTTAAGTGTAAAGTTACTATTAAATAATAATAAATTATAGCAGTAGGATTAAGTTGTTCGAAGCTCAATATTTCTTAAATAATATTGATTGTTCGAATCTTACGGAAGCAAAAAAAATCACGGTAGGAGAGCTTGCTTGTTTGAGTCTAACATCACTTGAATCCGATTATTGGATGTAACAATAAATTATTAAAAATTTAAATTATCGTCACATGAAACATATTTGATTAATATATTCCTATATATATTAAATATTTTTATTTCTAAAACTCATGAAATTTTTGTTGGTGGAAAACACATATAGTTCTTGGCCCTAGAGAAAGAAATAATAAAACAATGCAAAAATAAGTAATATGTCTGTGAAATTTCTAAAATGATGAATATTTTGAAAAATCAACAAAACCCCATACTAATTCATTTTTGAAAGAAACGAATTAATCTAATACTTGCAAATTTTACATGCTTTCGTTTAAAATTAGTATGAGGCGTATATAATATTAGACGAAGTCGAACAAATCATAGTGAAGCACTATTTATTGTTTTTTACTAATGCAACGTATTATAATTTTTTATTATATTTAGATTAGATATCAAATTAGATAAAGAAAATATGTTATATTGCTCGTTACTTATAATTAAATAGCACGGCTTTATTGATATTGAGTTCATGCATCCGAAATATGACAAGTTCAGGGAGAACTTTTTTCGGTATAATGGCTCCACGATGTTAAAGTAATTGGTTACCTCCCATTTTACTTCGCTCAAAAATGTGTTTGTATTGTGATTTCATGTGGGTGCTTTTTCACCCAATACACTTGAAAGGGAACTTGTATTCTGATTTCATGTGGGTGCTTTTTCACACAATACACTTGAAAGGAAACTTGTCGCACTTTAGTTTTTGAGTTTTAATCAAAATTGCCTAAAGAGGAAATTCATGCATGCTTTTCTTGCCCAATGTGCTATAAGATATGTTAATGGGATTTTTTTAATTTCATGCTGACAAGTCAAAGATGAAGCATTACTGCACAAACACAAACATAAGACCCTTTTTGTAGTATAAATTACATTACAAAATAGGTTTTATATTTAGAACCAAAAGAGTAATTCTCCCATTGTACTACAAAAATATTATTTATTCTTTCACTGTCAAATGTGATATAAATTTTGTCTTATATCAGGTCATGCTTGGGCCGGGGAATTTTTCTATGGCTTCAAACGCTTCCTCTTTCCAAACATATTGCCACCAAAATGATATATATTGACTATAATAAGAATTAGGATAGTTGACTATTATGTGTTGATAGGTAAGATGTATTAAGACGAAATATTTGTACGAGTAGTAATAAGCATAGACTTTTTGACCCAAAAAAAATAATATGCATAGACTAATATTGAAATAGTAAGAGATCATAGTAAGTTGTATGCCTTTTTTTTTTAGCCGGGAGAAATAGCCAATACGGTGAGGAATGCTTTGCAGTAACAGTGGAGTCGTAAATTTCAGAAAGCGAACCCATAATGCTGCACAGAGGTGAACGCTTGCAAATGGAGACAGGAGATTAAATTTTTTGCTTTTTGTTCATGTTAATCTTCAAGTAGGACGATGCACAAATGTGTTGTGTATTATGTAATTATTAATATTAATTGCATTAGTTTGAAATATTAAGATGTTATGGAAAATGGGGCAATTAATTTATTCTATCAATTATCCCTCAGCCTGAACCATCATTTAGTCCAAATGTAATAAGTGGTCACATGAGAAGGTTAGGCGCAGAGGAGTTCACTGGGAGCTTCAGAATGGTCATGGGTCAAAAATAAGCCGACATGGAAGAGCAACCATTAGTGTCCGTATGAACAAACTACTAATATTAATTCGTGCAATCCGCTGGGAACTCATAACGCAATCTGGTTAAAGGTACCTCGTATTTTGTCATCATGTGAGGATAGGACAAATCTTAGCAGGGAAAATGACAACACATGCAGGCTTCACTACAAAAGACGTCAAACGGTCAATGTGGTTCAGGTCAGATATTTTTTGTTTAAGGTGAGTAACCCTCTCCATAGGGGTTTGTTTTGTTGAATACACGCAGGATGATGCCTTTGCCTGGGACAAGAATTGTTGACCTCGGAGATATCTTCTTACTGACGAATGGTACTCTATCACAACTTTGTCTTCTTAATTAAATCAGTTCAGAATCTCTCCTCTTTTTTCTTTTTTTCATCTTCTTTCCTCTCTTTTTTTAACCATTAGATTAACATATTTCAATGGTTTAGATTTTAATTTTTTATGAACTATTTATAAAAAAAATTTAAAAATATGTAGTACACTTACAAATCATTAAAATTAAAATTTAATATAGTTTATGGTTTATAATTTATTTATTTTTATAATTTAATATTTTAATAATAATTTTAAAAAGATTTAAATTTGAACCGTTAAAATATTAATCTAACGCTTGAAAAAGAAAGAGAAAGAAAGAGGAGAGGTGCCAAACCGATGGGATCAATGTGGGCAAAACGCCTTCATCTCATCCGCGAAGTCTATTTGATTACCCCGGTGCTGAATGGGTTGCATCATATATGAAGACATGTTTCAGTCCAAAAAAAGAAAATGTGAAGACATGTTAATGTACAGACAAGATTAATATATTTCAATTTTGCGGCATGATAAGGTTTAGGTTTTCCATGGTCATATGATGATTTTAATATCTTCTGCCAAAAGAATTAACCATACCCGACGAGCCTGAAGATAGACCTTCTCCAGATTCTTTCCTGTCCTAGGTATAAAACAAACACCTCTCCAATAAGGTCACAAGCCCCGGAGTGCACCAAGTCGATAGTGTTTCATCGTTTCCATTGGCCAAGCACCACCCCCCCCCCCCCCAAAAAAAAGTTATCAGAATTGGCGCACGTACCTTTCCCTGACGCCCTCATCCCTCTAATAAATGATTCGCCTTTTTCAAAGTAGTCGTGTGGCCTTTTCTTTAACTTTTGCAATTGATGAATTGAAAATTCCCTCCATATGCATATCCACGCTTAAGTGGAGAGAATGATAAATGTTTACCTTCTTTACCTTCTTCTTTGTTTAATTTAAAATTTTCTTGTTTTACTGGAGTGGCATAAATATGGTATTGCAAAGAAGCAGTTAGCTAATTATTTGATTGTCATTGGCCCTTTTACTCATGTATATGTACTACTTGCTATCCTTATAAGAGCTAATTGATTAATTTGAGTAGATAAAAAAAATTAGCTAAATTAGTTATTTGCAATAAATAGGAGTGGTGTTTTTTAAAATATTCTTACTAATCAAGTATATTGGTTAGAACTAGCATTATTACAAGGACTATCTTTTAAAAAAAAGAATAAATATAAGAGATAAAGTAGATTAGAGTCTTATATTTAGGACCAAAATAAAAGTGAAATGAGCTTTTATATTAAGGACTAGAGGTAGTATTTGTCAATTTTGCCAACATTTAAATGTTATCTATAGTCACAGTACTAGTTTGCATGTAATTTTTGTATCCACAAAAAAAAGTACACATGTAATTTTCCAATTAATATGATTTTAGATTCATTCCCATTAATTATTTAGGTAATGATTTTTATGTGAGTAGTGACTTTGAGGACTTTTTAAAATAATGATTTATAAATTTAGTCCTTCAATATACAATTCTCCCCCATGTTTGGTAAATTTTCAGTTACAGGATTGTGCTAACTAAGCTTAGCCCCTTTTCTTCTGTTTGGATCCTTGTGTATGTCTTTATATATATATATATATATATATATATATATAACAAGTTTCAATTATAGAACTCAACATATAAACTCAAAATAAATAAAATTACTGTGAAGGTCAACAGCGGATGCTTACTTTCACTCGTCTGGCTGTTTAAAAAACTAATATTAGTGGTTAGAAAAATAAATATTAACCCTTAGCATTTTTTAACGGTCAAGGGCGACATTACTCCTTTTTCTATACTTGGACACGGCTCCTTTTTGAACACTTTCTGAATAATATCGATACCAAAAAAATTTCAAATACTTGCGACTCCTATCTGAAAATTTCCCGCGCGAAATTAGACCTTAACCCTTAAATATCTAATATTGAAAATAGATCCCAAAAACTGACACTTCTTTAATATACATAAAGTGGAAGGCACCACCAAAATTTTTCTATAATTCATTCAATAATGTTATTTCTTTTTTTTTTGGCCAAAAATTCAATAATGTTATTCGAAGCTTCTTAAAATATACTTTATTAAAACAGAGTATTAATTATATGAAATAATAATAAATCGCGTGCCATTGAAACTTTGCTCATTTAAAGTAATTAAATTTTTTAATATGATTTAACTTCAACTTTGGTGAGATCTGTGTCATTTGGTTGTAAAACCCCTCTTCAAAAGACAGCCCCCATTGACACTGTTACTAAAAGTAGGGGTGGGTGAATCATAACTAAAAACCTAATCGAAACGAATTCAATTTCGGCTTTTGAGTTCGGTTATTTCGGTTTTTTGTTACATATTCGGTTTTTATTTTTCTAATAATTCGGTTTTGGTGTTCGGTTTGATTAGTAGAAAAAAATTTCGGTTATAACCGAAAAGCCAAAATAAATATATTATATATTTATATTTAATAAATATTATTATAATAAATATATATGTGGGTTTATGTAAACACTTTAAATATATTTATATTCAATAAATATCATTATAATAAATATTATTATAATAAATTACATTGAATGATGTAATATTTATTAATTAATGGTTGTAATTGTGTTTTATTATTATTAATAATTTAAAATCACTTTCATATTTATATATTTCGGTTAATCAGTTAACCAAACCAAAATATTTCAGTTAATTTAGTTTCGATTAGT